TCGGACTCTAATTGGGACACCCTCCCGGCTAGCCCCCCTACCGTGGAACGTAGTTCACCCATCTCAGACTGGAGGGTCTTCATATTTTTATTTGCTTCCTCGCGTACCTGGGTTACCCTCTCACCTACTTGGTTTATCATATCTCCCATACCGGCCTGTAACCCAGCTACCCACCCCGGGGTTTTCTCGCTGGGTCTCTGGGGCTCCCTTGCCCGTCCCCTTCCTGCGATGGCGAGCTCCTCCTCCTCGTCCGAGAGTAGGCTCGCTACGGCGCACTCTCGTCCCCTCCCTCGAGGCTGCGCGCGCTCACCCGAGAGCTTCTCGCATTTGCGCGCGCGCTCGACAAGTGTGTTAAAGGAGAGGCGTGCACCGTCTATATTTGGCTGCCACCACGGGGTGCGTGCCAAATATCGCTGGACCTTCCCGGCAGCGAGGCTCTCAATTACTTTCGCGTCATGCTCCGGGTACGCGAGCTGGGTCAACATGCGTACGTCCTCGGCGTAATCTCGCAGATCCTCGCCGGGCTGACGGCGGCGTGCCTCTAAGGCCGCCTGCGCCTCCTCCTCGTCATAGGTGCCGAAGCGCCGTTCGAGTTCGCACATTAATTTTTCCCACTGAGTTTGTGTGCTTGTGGGCAAAGCTTCCACAAAGTCAGCTGCTCGCCCATCTAAATGTATCTCTAACTGCTGCAACGCCTCCTCATCCGACCACCCATTAACCTTTTTAGCCCCCCTGATGCTGCGGGCAAACGATTTCCATGATGGAATTCCTTTGCCCGTAAATGTGCATTTGATTTTAACCTGGGTTGGGGGGCCTCTTTCCCTTGGGGCCGCGGGGGATCGTCCCGTTTCTGACACCAATATGTGGGGGTCGCTAGCCCCCGAAATCCCTCCCTCGATAATGCTAACGGCCGGGCTAGCATCATCAATCGCCCCCCTGCTGCTAAGCGAACCGCTGCTGAGTTCCTCACCCATGGTGTGGGAGCCGTCGCCCGAGGATTCCCCTCCACCGCGGGTCCGCGTAGCAGGCATGGTTAATTACGTACGCGCACACCCACACACACAGCTCTGTACGACAAGATCACGCGAGACCACGCTTCGCTATTAATGATTTATTACCTGGTAACTAATGTTCAATCAGTGAGTCGACGAGGCTGGCCTATTCCACTAAACCGGCACCTATTCCCTATTTATCGGCTATGATTCTAATTCACCTTCTTACTCACTGTTAAGTGTCCACGGCGGTCCGCTGATCCCGGTGTTAACCGCGTGCCTCGGTGCGTCGCACGGACGTCCGGGTCGCTGGCTCGAGCTGCGTCTGGTCGCCTGGCGCTGGAGTAAGAGAGCGATTTCCCCTCTGCGCTCCTCTATTTATCCTCCCTACCTCCAAAAGGGATGCTGCGCTGAACAATGGGCTCGTGCACCCCAAGCCCGCGCACGGCAGTCCCCAGGCGCTGTTGATATGCTAATCAGTGAGCGACGTTGGCGGCGTACATCCTAATTACTCCCTTACCCTTCCTAACAATGGGGCCTGCGCGCTCAAGCGCAATTATCCCAACCCCCCATGACTATGCGCAACAGCCCCTGTGACCCCGCTATTCATGCTGTCTCGTGCCTCCCCTGCTTGCCCCGTCGACTCGTGGGGGTGTGTGTGGGGGGAAATGCGCCTCAACCGCGGTGGCCGAATGCCCCACGCCGCGACCATACCATATTAAGGCCGGCAGCAGCGCCGCGGTACCACGTAGCACGGGGGAGGTCATCCAATTCCCTGATCGCCGGAAACCGTGAGAATTAATCCCGATAAGGGTCTCTCGGATAAAAACCGGGCGATCAGGTAACCTTCCCTTCCAGCTCTATGGGGGGGGGGGGGGGGGGGGGGATGCGTGCGGGTGTGTGCTTATGTGGGGCGGGTGATGGGGGGCAGTGCGGTGGGGGAAGCCGGGCGGCTCCCTGGCTCGGCAGAGCGGCCCCGTCGCTGTGGCACCACACATGCAGAACAACATTAACCCAATGGCATTGTTTGGAAATTGCCAAATACTGTTGTGTATGCAAAGGACCCTAGCACAATAATTCTTACCGAGGGGTCTTACATCGTAAGTAGCACCACTTACCCTTCCTTGCCTTTGGCTGGTGGAAAACGGAAGGTGGACATTTTTGCAAACTGCTATTGGCTGTTATGGCCGCTCAGAGGCCAGTTGCCAGTGATAGTGCAACAATAACTTTTTTTTTTTTTACCCAAGGTGTATACAACTGGACACACACACACCAGTGGCCCCACCACGTCTTAATCTAATAATCTAGCGTTGGTGTGGCAAGCGTCACGTGGATTCTACATTTATTTCCCATAAGGCAGAAATGCCCGTTTAAAGATGTCGCATGGCAAAGGGTAAGCTAGCGGTTGCTGTTCACTCCAGTGTTACATCGCATTGTGACAGAAATACATCCAAACATTGAAATGACACTGTTACCGAGATTTACTTTCAGGCTACATTATATATTTGTGTTCCTTTTCGTACTGGTAAAACTACGGTTTGTGCTTTTTGCATGTGATGTATTATTTGCAGACTTTGCTTACACATAGGTGCCCCCTCCATTAATTTAAACTAAAATGGCAAATGTTCTGCATTGAGGATAAATGATCAGTGATATGCTATGATTATTGTGCTTTGAGAGAGTGGATTCAACAACTCAGTAGTGCACTCCGTTGACATGAATCAAATGCAGCTACTCTTTTTTTTATTCCCACTTAAATATACTTTTTTAAACAACTTATTCTGTTAGCAGTTTCATAGCCAAATTTGGTCAGTTATCAAACAAAAAACTGCTGAATTATCAATTCCTGACATCTTGCTGGAGCCAGATACCTCTAGGAGCCAGTTATATGTATTCCTCTCAAGTACACTATTGTGACATTGGTGAGCACAAAGTCAGCGAGGATGATCATGTTATAACATATTAATTATCAGTTTGTTTGCATGTTCACCACAAGTACGTGTGGTGAATACAGACTTAATGCAGACTTTATTCCTTGCAAAATGTATATATTTGGTGTTTGAGCATCTTAACCACCTGTTTTATTGCTTGAACGGGTAAAACCTATTCTTATTTTTCATATAACATTATAATGTTGCAACAGTCCTGTAGGGTTGGGGGGGGGGGCTGGAGAAATGGTTGAACCCCTCACTGATGAGGCCACAGGACCCCTTTCCAAATTCTTAACATTTGTTTAAAGTAACGTCTGGAGAAGCAAGCAAGTCAGCTACAAGACCAAACTGACTGTCTTAAGAACATGCATGTTCAGTACAGCTTTGTATGCCTGCGAGACTTGCACATTAAAAAAGACTGACAGGGACAACATGTATTGCTGCAGAAGGATACTGCATCTAAGCTGGAACCAAAGCGTGACTAATGTAGAAGTGAGAAAAATGTTGCACATAGAAGAAGACCTGATGATGCGGGCAGTGATGATAAGGAAACTGGCACTATATGGACACATATGTAGGATTAACAACACGAAAATGAAGAGTGTTGATCATAAAAAAGGAATGGGACTGGAAAGAGAGGAAGACCTAAGAGAGAAAGGCTTGATGACCACATAAGAGATTGGTGATATAATGATTTGGCACTACTTTAGCATATTGGCACTACAAGACAGAGGAAAGTGGAAACAAATGATGAAGTGAGCAGTGGACACCTACGGACTATCTACCCATGGATCGTGATGATGATGAAAGTTTGTTTAACATTGACTGTGTCATGAACCCCCTCAGCTTTAGTATGAACCACTTTAAACATGGTCACGCTATAGAGTTGTTTTGCTATATTAATATGGAAGTATCATTTGCATATATGGCATATGAAACCTTGGTGAGTTTAACATTATTCGCAGGTGTATGCATGTACTGTATGTGTATATGCAAAACAGATGTATGTTTCTCATTGTGGATTAAGTCAGCTCATTTTCCAGTCAGGGTTAATAAAATGAGGACCAATTAGTGGAAGTCGTTCATATTTGTCATGTAGCGTTGAATGACCACTTCGTGGCAATATTGAGTTTCTAGCATTGGAAACTGTAGCAACTTCGATTATTTATATTATAATAATCATAATCCATGATCTATCCACTATTGTATAAAGGCCTCCCCAAACTGTTGTAATTATATTTTGACTTAAAACTTTCGTGACTCAGGAATTCATATTCTATGGTTCTTTCGGTAAAGTCACGTAGATAAAAGAAAAAATAATAACAATAAAATAATAGAAATGAAAATAAAGTTTATAAAAATAATCAAAATATGACGACCACTTGTGTTGCGATCGAAACGTCGTGATATTTTTTATTATTTTTATTCACTTTATTTTCATTTTCATTATTTTATCGTTATTTTTTCTATCTACGTGACTTTACCGAAAGAACCATAGGATATGTTGCTATTATTTAAACGTTTACATTTCAAAGGCTTTGTTGGAAATGGTTTTATGATCAGAAAACATACCAACATTTTATATTACAAATGGCGTTATTTTCCAGACACAATTATCAAATGTTCCATCCAGCAACATGTAACAATGGCCATTCATCTGCCTTTTTCTATACATTACGAATATAGCCTACAGTGTTACATTCTCATTTTATGAATTAACTAGCAGCCCGCCTGCCCTTTTGGGAGTGTTTGTCCATCCCTCCCTCCAGCCAGCAAAACCTGTGTTCAATACTGTCGAGTACGATACAATGGAGCGTGGGCTCCGGGTAGAGGGTAAATGAAAAGTGGTTAAAAACAATTGCAGTTATATCATTGCCTACTTTACAGGATGGGAGATATTTATAATCGAAGCGAATGGTGGTGATTGTGATGGTGATAATGGTGGTGGGGATTGTAACAACTTTGATGATGATGACAAAACCGACTTGTTACGTTTGTTTTAGAATCGATGGTCGTGACATGCTTTGTGATAATGGTGATGACGACCATGATGATGATGTTGTGTTCTGACCCTCAGTGATCCTGCTGAAGGCTGCTGCGTCCACCAGGCCGACATCTCAAGTACAAGCCGGGGAAACGGCCAAATTAACGTGCAAGGACGCGACAGAATTTAAATATGTGAAGTGGTTGAAGGTGAAACATAGACGCGACTCATTACACATCAACACGCGGCGTTTTGCACACCACATGTCGCAGAATATACAACACGCAGCATTACAATATACAACATGCAGCATCACAATATACAACATGCAGCATTACAATATACAACATGCAGTATTACAATATACAACATGCAGCATGACAATATACAACATGCAGCATTACAATATACAACATTACAATATACAACATGCAGCATCACAATATACAACATGCAGTATTACAATATACAACATGCAGTATTACAATATACAACATGCAGCATTACAATATACAACATGCAGCATCATAATATACAACATGCAGCATCACAATATACAACATGCAGCATCACAATATACAACACGCAGCATTACAATATACAACATGCAGCATCACAATATACAACATGCAGTATCACAATATACAACATGCAGCATCACAATATACAACACCCAGCATTACAATACACAACATGCAGCATCACAATATACAACATACAGCATCACAATATACAACATGCAGCATCACAATATACAACATGCAGCATTACAATATACAACATGCAGTATTACAATATACAACCTGCAGCATCACAATATACAACATGCAGCATCACAATATACAACATGCAGTATTACAATATTCAACATGCAGCATTACAATATACAACATGCAGCATCACAATATACAACATGCAGCATCACAATATACAACATGCAGTATTACAATATTCAACATGCAGCATCACAATATACAACATGCAGCATCACAATATACAACATGCAGTATTACAATACACAACATGCAGCATCACAATATACAACATGCAGCATTACAATATACAACATGCAGTATTACAATATACAACATGCAGCATCACAATATACAACATGCAGTATTACAATATACAACATGCAGTATTACAATATACAACATGCAGTATCACAATATACAACATGCAGCATCACAATATACAACATGCAGCATCACAATACACAACATGCAGTATCACAATATACAACATGCAGCATCACAATACACAACATGCAGTATCACAATATACAACATGCAGTATCACAATATACAACATGCAGCATTACAATACACAACATGCAGTATCACAATATACAACATGCAGCATCACAATATACAACATGCAGTATCACAATATACAACATGCAGCATTACAATACACAACATGCAGTATCACAATATACAACATGCAGCATCACAATACACAACATGCAGTATCACAATATACAACATGCAGTATTGCAATATACAACATGCAGCATCACAATACACAACATGCAGTATCACAATATAAAACATGCAGTATCACAATATACAACATGCAGCATTACAATACACAACATGCAGTATCACAATACACAACATGCAGCATCACAATACACAACATGCAGTATCACAATATACAACATGCAGCATCACAATACACAACATGCAGTATCACAATATACAACATGCAGCATTACAATACACAACATGCAGTATTACAATACACAACATGCAGTATCACAATATACAACAATGTCATGGAACACCAACACCGCAGTGTGTGCTAACTACACTCTCTGGCACCATGTCTGTCCAGTGCTCGCCGAGCTGCGTTGGTTTCTGTTTGCCGAACAACTGCATTGCACACAAAGTGCTTGCCACAAATGAACCAAAACGTCGAGCTTGATCTCGTCCAGGAGCACAAACCATCACGCAAACTCCGGTCTGCAATGCTCTTCCAACAATTAGGAAGCCACTGGAGCTACATTTACACTTTTAAGTCGAGACGGAAAACTAATTTCTTTTGAACATTTTTTTTTTGTGTTTAGTTGTCCTTCCCCAGCACCTCCGATCAGCACGGTAGGATACGTACGGTGTGAAAGAAGTTCTACATGCACACACGCCGTGACCACACAGCATGTAGTCGTCAGTCGTCGACGTGCAGACTGAGGCCAAGGGTGGGAAAAACTCGATTTTTGTGTGTGCAAATTTTATCGGGTTATTGGTTTTTATATATATAAAAAAAAAAGATTTTGTCGAAAAAAAACCCCCATGGTTTTAATCCGGCAAGTCAAGTTGTCGTCAATCGGCGCCAGAGTCATCGGATTCGCTGTCCTCTTCGATCATCTCGACCGCGCCGGCGAAGAAGTCGTGAATGTTGCTCTTGACGAAGACGACCTTCTACACCGACTTCACGCTCGGGCTGCTCCTCAGCTCGGAGTGAACGAAGGCCGTGGTGGAGAAGTTCCTCTCGGATGCGGCACTGGACGTGGCAATGCTGGACAGCTTGACGGCGATCTTTTGCATGCTCGGCTTAGCTTCCCAGTTTTGATAAGATGGGGTGCATTGCGAGCGCTACTCGACATGCACCGCACACCTCCCCACACAGCGACACGTGCAGTCCCACTGCGGTACACCGGGAGTTGCCACCTCTCCTGCTTTTCCCTGGATCATAATGCACCACTCAAGGCAATGCATTTACAGGCAGTTCTCCCCTCTCTCGGTTTTTGTGAGATATTCCTCATCCCAGTTGTTGTTGCTGCACCTCAGCGAAACTGTGCATGATGCGACACGTATTTGTGAATGCGTGCGTGCAGGACGGTAAGCGGCTCCTCTACGCAAAGAAAGATGACGTGACGATCGACTGGCCTCACCTCAAGCACCTGGCCGCCACACAGCCGTGGACAAAGTGGCGCGTGCTGACGATCCCCAACGTGTCGCTCACGCACGCCGGAAATTACACCTGCCAGATCGACATCAACGACTCCTTCCACTCCACCACCACCTTGCTAACCGTCATAGGTCAGAACACAATGTTTTGTGCTGGGGTTTTATAGCTGAGAATCGCAAATTATCACGCTGGGCGACAATACAGGAAACCTGGGTTTGATTTTGCAGCTCTTGCACTTTTGCGGAAAGCGGAATGTCTGAGACTTCCCTGGGCCTCAATTGAGCTTTAACAGAGTACTTGTTACTGTGCGAAGAGCGGAGACACACGTGGACTCTGCTACTTGTTTGACATTGGTCAATGTCCGTACAGTGTTGCACGTTTCACGTCAACAAAGGTGTCTCAGAGCACTTGGCATTAAATAAAATGTACATGAATTTACAAACACAACACAAAATATTCCACATGTAGTTGAACATAAAGCAACGTGTAATGAGGCAATATAAATGTAAAACAAATGACACATTTGATTATGATTACGACAAATTAATAAAGTATTTGTATAATAACAGTAATAGCAGATTCTCAGCTCACCTCGTGTATTTGTACTAAATTACAGATGCATCCGAAGAGGTAGCTTTATAGAAGAAAAAAATAATCTATGCCGCTTAAATGGCTTCCCCAGAAAATGGTACTTATTGTATCCACCTTGGAGGGATGATAGGCCGAGTCAACCCACAACCAAGATTTTGATTAATGTATTCTTAGAGAGTGCTGATGCCAACGTCCTAACCCCCATCCACAGAGAGACAAATGACGACGCCAGGCCCGGCGTCGACCGCGAGGTCCCCGCTACCCGTCCAGGATGGCCGCAACACGACGAGGGCTAAAGCGGTGGCGCCGGAGATGCACGGCCCAGTCACCAGCAGCGTCATGAAGTTCTCCCTCCTCGCCGTCGGCCTTGCGCTTGCCATCACGTGGATCGCGTGCGCCGCTTTTGCGGTCTTCAAGAAGGTACGGCCACGTCCAAGCCTCTCTCTGTAGCTTGGGCAGTCATCGCGCGCTGCCAAAGGGACTGAGAGAGAACGTCTCTCACCCACTGTGGGCATTGCTGGGGAGTAATGTGCATGTCAAATTGCCAAGGCAGGTACTTGTAATCATGCATGATGTTATTTAGTTTTAAACATGTAATACGATTTATGTTGTTCAATACTCTTTTATCCTTGTTTTTACCCCGATTGTGCCATCAGCCTGACGTCACAATGTGAGGCATCCTTTCGGATCTCTGACAGAGCAGTGCGACCCTTTTTGTTGGAGAATGGCCCGCGGAAGTGGATATCACAGAGCTTCCTCTGAGATCCCTTCAAGTGATACTAGGGTCCACACCTATCAATAAGACCAGTCAATGATCCATACTAATCAATGAGACCAATCTATAAATAACAGATACTTATTTATACATTTTTATCAGTTACATATACAGTAAATTCATCTCCGTTAAATTTTCATAAATATGGTTGAAGAACCCTGTCCGATGTAGGGTTGCAACTTGTTCTGGTTTTTCCAGGAACATCTTCTCGTGGTAGCTGTCCTGGGAAATCTAAAAGTCTTCTCGGGACATAAAAAAATCCTTGTTATCATCAATTGTGTGATTAATACATCCCTCACGACAATGTATTTGCAGTCGGTTCTCCCCTCCTCCGGCACTGTGAGCTATTCGTCTCCCGTGATGAGTGCCAATCTGTTGTACCGAAGAGGAGGAGACCCGAGCCGTGTGGCACGGCTTGCTGCCAAGCTCACGGAGCTGATGTCCGCAGGTGCTGCAGCCAAGGCAGAAGAAGGTGGCAGAGGCACTGAGGCTGCTGGGAGGGAACCACAGCCTCACGGTGGTGGGGGGAGTGCCGGTGGAGGGGGTTTACGCACCTCGCGACCTCGCCGACCCGGAGCGGGGTCAGTCCACATCGCTGCAAAGACACGCTCGCACGTTCACACATTAACCCAAGCTGCTGACATAATCATCATCGCCCACTCTTACGGTGAAATAGCTTTTTTGTTATTTGTTTCAATAAAAAAAGTAATTTAAGCAATAACAAAAAGTAATCGTCTCGTGTACGCCAAGTCGCAGTAATTTAGTTATACTCTGCTAGTGGAGCAATGACGCAGGATTAGTGCTCTTTACTGCTAACCACCGTCGTGTTTAATGGAAGATGCGCTGGCTGCGTGCGGCCCCGTGTGCGAGCGCAGACTTGCTGATTCCTGCTCACCGCCTGACTCTCGGCCCCTCGCTGGGCTCGGGAGAGTTCGGCCTGGTGCTCGAGGGGCACGTGAAGGACGGCAGCCTCTGCGGACAGACGCGCGTCGCCGTCAAGATGCCACTCGGTGCGCGACACGGCAGTCCACGGCGTGTTCCCCCCTTCGACCGCCGCTCTGTCGTCACATGTGATTGTCGGCCACTGTCTCTTCGAGCGGCGTGTGCTGCCCTCGCCCGCTTACTAATCTCTGTCCCCGTTTGTTGCGCCCGCACCGCCCGTTGTTAGACGAGGGCGAGCAGTCTCGGGCAGAGCGGTGGCAGCGGTTCGAGCGGGAGGTGCGGGTGATGCTGCACGCGGGCACGCACCAGAACGTTCTCGCCTGCCTGGGCTACAGCAAGGCGCCCAACGGTACGGGATTGCCCGCACAAACACAAATATTCCCCAAAGAGCCTCTAGCAGACGGTTGGAGAAAGTGCTATCAGCGAGCAGCTATGAAGGACGAAGCTGTGCACGAGGTAGCATTGTGGTCTGGACCACACCCTTCTGCCTTTGTTTCCCCGATATTGATGTTTACACGCCGCACAAGATACACAGTTTAGGCTTCGTCGACCAATGAGAGGCCACGACTGGTTGTAATATAAGCCACTAATAGTAGCCGTGGGCGGGAATCGAATTAAAATCACCCGAATCGAAGCTCAGTGCGCAGACCACCACGCTCCCGCTGCCCACACATCGGCACGTGCACCACACTTCACCACACTGGTTAGTGCGGGTTTATGCAGGTGGGCAAAATAGACATGGGACCACAGAAGTACAGTACAACACCGAATGTTGCTGTACTGCCCTGTGCTGACTGACACCCACTGGCTCTCCCCATAGGAATTTAGAATTGTCATCAATTTGTCCAGGGCCACCAATGCAGATGAGGGGCATCCCGTCGCTAACCTCGTCACTTAGACTTGTCACTGCGTTTCAGGTTTTCCCATGGCCATTCTGGAGCTGGCTCCCGGTGGCAACCTGCAGACGTTCCTGCGTGAGTGCCGGGGTCACGTAACGTCGAGGCCGGGCCAGGCTGCCTACGCCGCTGGCAGCTGGGCCAGGGCCGGCAGAGGCTCGGGTCTGAGTGGACAGGATTTCGCCCTGATCGCACGCGGGGTGGCGCACGGGATGGCCCACCTCACCAGGCAGCGTGTGAGTGTTACATGCACGCGCCCTGATGTGCCCACCACAAATACAAAGGTCACCCATATAGCCTGTAACAGACTGTTGGGGCAAGTGCTGTTAGCGAGCATCTATAAAGGTCGGCATGACGAACGAGGTGGTGGGTGGCGAGCATCACGCCTGGCCACCTTTGTCTCCCTAGTGGCGATGTTTACACACTGCACCAGGTACTCATTTAAGGCTGACTCGACCTATTGGAGACCCAGAACCGGGTTAGAGAGTCTTTACTGGTCTTGGCCATGAGCGGGAATCGAAATTCATATCTTTAATATAAAATTAATGACATTTAATTTTTCACATGGCCTAAACACATTATGTTTTATTTTTAAATTGTATTTGGTCTGCAACAATGTAATTACCGAGTCATTATTTAAAGTAACCCTTTGCTCTGGCGCCACGATATACAGCATGGGAGGCGCAGATCGAATTATAACGGATGATTCTGGTTCCCATTGAGACCTAAAGACCAGTGGCATAGCCTCGCAGTGCTATGTGATGAGAAGCAGAGGGCAGTGCAGAAAATAAATCCATTGTTGTCCTGTACTTCTGTGATCCTATGCCTTTGCTTCCCGCCTTTATCCAAGCCGAATTGACCAGCGTGATGAATCTTGATTTGAAGCTTTCGTGACTGCAGGAATACATATTCTTTGGTTCTTTCGGTAAAGTCACGTAGGTATAATGCTAAAATCTCTCTCTAATCTCTCTTTTCCTAATCTCCCCCATTAACACAACTGACGTGCTTGCGTCCGGGGATGGAATTCCTTTCCAGCTCAGACCCCGCTTGCTTGCCCATCGCCACGTAAATAACCTCTTGTTGTTGTAACAGCTCTCTCGCTGGTCCAGTAGTTCCATTGCTGGATTTTTTTTTCCGCCTGAGGATGACCGCTTGTGTTGCGATCGAAACATCGTGATATATTATTTTTTGTTTAATTTTTATACCTACGTGACTTTACCGAAAGAACCAAAGAGGTCAGCGTGATGAAGTACGGTCAAATAGCCCCCACGACCCACACAAAGTATTGAGGCCCTTATCCATTGGTGGATTGAAAAAAGGGTGGTAGAGGTACAAGAGGAGCCTGGAGACAATATGAAGTGTCCCTAGCAGCAGTTTGCAGCGACATACATTGGAATAAATATCTTCCAAAGTGTAATGCTCTCGTGACTGAGGACGTTCAGGAAGGAGGTGTATTGATGCTGGAGAGATGAAGGGCTTAGCCAGTGGCCAACTAATATTTGAAATTGCATCCTGTCGTTATTAGGTCAAGCACTCTGCCCCATGGCAAGCAGGCAAGACGCGTGACGTTGTGTGTGCTTTGTGGTTTGTGCTGTGCAGCTGGTGCATGGAGACGTGGCCACGCGGAACATTCTGATCGGACAGAGCCTCGCACAGTGCAAGGTGTCCGACTTCGGGCTCGCACGCCTTGAGGACGAGCCCGAGCACATCCACGCGCAGGTTTGCCTGCACCACGTTTTGTCTGTCACGTGCTCTGTCAGTGTCTGTCATGTGCTTGCTCAGTGTCTGTCATATATTTACTCACTGTCTGTTATGTACTTGTTCAATATCTTTGGTTGTGTTTATTCAGAATCCATATAATAAATATATTTAGCATCTGTATCTGTGTCAACTGCAGCCTTGGACAATGGTGTTATTTTTAACCCCGCCACCTCTGGCTGTACTGTGCTCATTTTAATGTGAGGTGTCCCTTGGAAAGCACTCGAACACAAAAAGATCCCTGTCCAGAAATGATGAGTGGGTTGAGAGTAATACTAATCATTTATATGTATTTGTAAGGCACCTTCCACTAATGTTTCAAGGCACCTTGTAATAATAAGGTTAAGGAAAGGCCAAGAGAGCAGGAGAACTAAATAGAATTAACGGACGAGTAGGTGTATTATTAAGTGAATGAAGAAGGTTCATCATTACATTTCGATGTGAAAGTTATCTGCGGGAAGATGACACAATACAAGCCACTAAAAGTAATTGGTCAAGTGGCTTCAATGAAAACAGTGTGTGGGTAGTCTCAAACTAATATAAACATGGGCTGTCAAAGTATTTACCAGGATACCCTGCAGATGCACATAACATAACGTGATATTTTGAAGCGAAAGTGTGGACCTCAGACATATGCTGTGTGTGTTTAAGCGAGTGCAACGAACAGTTACACATCACCTTTGATAAGTACGGTTGGCTAAATACGGTGCGAAATAAGTTTAACGTGCATACATGCATACGTGTGTGTGTGTGCTTACGCGAACGTGTGCTGTGTGCACGTACGGCAGGCTCGGGTGCCATTCCGCTGGTACCCCCCTGAGTACTTCTCATCGCGTAGCTACACGCGAGCGGGCGACGTGTGGGCCTATGGAGTGCTGCTGTGGGAGCTCGTCAGCTTTGGTACGCACCGTCGCGCACACACTGCCGCATGCACATGGCACACTCTGTATTGGCTTCGTCACGGCATTGCTGGTGATGGTGAGAGTCAGGATGATGAAGGCAATGTTGGCAAATACTTCTATTGAATATGGTGATGTTGTGGACAGCTCTGCTCTGGTGATGTATATGACAAGAATATTGTTGCCACCGGTGGTGATGTTGACAATTGTGCTGTTGCTGGTGATGTTAGTATGATGATGGCGATGATGTCGGTGACAGCGCTGCTGATGATGTTGTTGGTGACATTGATGATGACGGCGATGTTGAAAGCGCTGTTGCTAATGATTATAGTGATGGTGGTTATGATTCTCTTTCTCTCTCTTCACACAGCCTACACTCCGTATGCGAACATTACGTGCCACGTGATGCTGGGCACGCGGTTGTTGCAGGGACATCGCCTGGCCCGACCACCACACTGCAGCCTTGCCATGTACGTGTGCACGCGCGTGTGTGTGTGTGCATTGGCATTCTTTTTCCTGTGAGTCTGCATGTGGAGACCTGAGATGCAGTTTGTTAAAGTGATGCAGCTGAGCGCCATTACATTATCAGCCAGAGCGGTGACCCAAATGATGCGGTGCACATAAATAAAGTTTCGGTAGTTGCATGGACCAGAGAACGTAGTAGGCAGGTGTTAGAAGGAACAGTGGCTGGTGGTCAAGACTAACAATGAAGTAAGAGGCAAGGGAGGGAACTTGTCAGAGAGGCCATTCACCGTGGAGATGGAGCGATGAAATCAGCTCATGTGCAGGTGCTGGGTGGAGCATTACATCACAGGACTGGCTTGGGGAGGCTGATGATGATGATGGAGCGCATAGAAAAGTTCCAAGTGACAAGTGCGTTGATAGCACAGGTGCTCTTGTGTATTCTCGCAATTTGTTGGTATCACACCGCCACTTGGTATATGGAATGTGTCACAACATTAGCCAAGGTTGTGTGTGTGTAGTTTACCTGGGGTATTAATCAAAAGCCATGCAATGGTTTGGTGACTGATTGCCGGAAGGACACGGGAGTAGTAGCCCCACTATGCTCACAGCATATGTGGATGCCACTTGCGTACTTGGGAATCTTCTGCTGAAGCAGGTCACTCTGCCCTGTTGCAGGAGCTATGAAGCGAGGACGGGTGAGAGGTGGCATTGGCAATGATTTGGCTGTGACGAGCTCTCTTGTGCACATGGGGACCTCAACGGTGTCTCCCTGCCGTTCAGGTACGACCTGATGATGCGCTGTTGGGAGGGGAACCCCCAGCGCCGCCCAGACTTCCAGGAGGTTGCCCGCACCCTGCACACCATCGCCAACTCCCAGCAGGTGAGACCACTACGCAGAGCGCGACGCTTTACACTCGCATAGTCAGCGCCGTGTTACGGTTATTGGGGGCCCAGGATTGTTTTACAATTGGAGGGCCCTTTTTGGATAATCAATTCCTTCCCTTTACTTATTTTACCACCACCCACATACAAAATACGAAACACGACATTATTATTTACCTTCGTTATTTCAGTAATAGTTTTCAAATGTGGTATACGAATTGTAAAGCGAAGTCAAAAGTTAACACCAACAGGACTATTATTGATTTGAAGCTTTTGTGACTGCAGGAATTACTCTTTGGTTCTTTTAGTAAAGTCACGTAGAAAGAAAATAAATTAAATAATAGAATACGACGTTTTAATTGCAACACAAGCAGTCGTCATCAGGTCGAACTAAATTTGAGAGAGACAAAACACAGATACGGAGACACACAGACAGACACACAAGCAGAGAGAGACAACACAGAGACACACAGACAGACACACAAGCAGAGAGAGACAACACAGAGACACACAGAGAGACGCACAAGCAAAGAGAGACAACACAGAGACACACAGACAGACACACAAGCAGAGAGAGACAACACAGAGACACACAGAGAGATGCACAACTGTGTCTCTGTGTCTCTGTGTTGTCTTTCTCTGTTTGTGTGTCTGTCTGTGCGTCTCCGTGTCTGTGTTTTGTCTCTCTCAAATTTAGTTCGACCTGATGACGACTGCTTGTGTTGCAATCAAAACGTCGTATTCTATTATTTAATTTATTTTCTTTCTACGTGACTTTACTAAAAGAACCAAAGAGTAGGACTATTATTATTTTGGCCCACAACAAAGTAATGCTTTGCCTTTAATTACAACATTTTATGCAGGATGTATCATTCATTGTATGTCATGGAGAGGAATTGACCTCCAGTTGCTTAGATCATAGTGCATTTGAAAAACCTTCCACCAAACTCCACCTTATATACATCACACTCTGTACTTTGCACACTATGCACCTCGACCTTAAGACACCATGCTACACTGTTGACTTACAGCAAGGCCGTAGCCATGAAGTCAACATCGGGGGGGGACCAAATCTTCCAGGGTGTCTGGGGGTCCTAACTCAGAAAAATATCTAATTTTGAAAACTAATTTCCTGCCTAAAATATTCAAAAATTCACTAACACATGGGATGGACTTTTTTTTACCAAAATGTCGACTAGTGTATTGTATTACATTGCTCTGTTTGAACTTTTTTACCATGTCTTGTTTCATTGTATGTAATGGCAGAGATTAGGGATTAATAAAATACAACCATAACCGCAATCATATCAACAGAAATCTATGCATTGATTTATATGAAGACAAGTCCAGATGTTGTGGCCAAGGTATAGCAAATTGTTGTTTTTATTTCCATAGCATAGCAATTGTTTTTGTATAGCTATATATTGGGGGGGACATTTTGAGCATATTTGAATATTGGGGGGGATGTGTCCCCTCCAATATATATGTTATAATTACGGCCTTGCCACACCTTGTTAACTTTATCGCGTACGTGATTATGTGATCCCGGACCTTGGATAGCGAGTGATACTTGAACTGGTCCTAGGACTCCCCTCGGTCAACTCAACCTTAAAATAAGTACCGGGTACAGTGTGTAAATATCAGCATTGGGGAGACGAAGGTGACCAGGTATGCTGCTGGCCACTCACCCTCTCATGTAACATGCTGGCCTCCACAGGTGCTTTCTAAAAAGCACTTGCCCCAAGTTTGAATGGCTATAGGGAGAAGCTAAGTTTTTATAATTGTGTACTTAGGTAATGCGTTTATTTGTGCATACAGTAATGCGCTTGATGTATGCAACATCAATGTGTAATTGCAGATTAATATGTGCGACGTGCATCTTTGTGTAATGTATTGATGCGTGTGTTCGTATTTGTGTTCAATTCAGGACTATGTCAATATGGCCGCCTTCAATGCAGAGGGCTACGTGGACCTGGCCCCACAACCTGGCGAGAAGCTGTGAAGAAGCCCATCCGTTCTCAGGCCAACTATGTTCAGCTAATTCAATTGATTTTATTTTATTAATTTCAATTCTCAAAACTCAGAAATAAAAAGGGGTAGTGTTTATCTAAGCAAAATATGTCCATTACAAGAACGGCAACGATCAATGAATGAGGGCCGCGACCACAATACCGCACGATGGTGTTATATCCCACGTCTTTGAAAAAGAGCTTCACAGCTCATAGGATTTCACCAGGATAGATAAAGATTCTGAGGATAAATACACCTCATACTTTGTTAATTTTTATAAATTGATCATTAAGGTAAACGTGTAATTAGATTACTTTACTTTGAAAATACCAAATATCAAATTAGTTTACATTACTGCACTTCTACAGTCTTTACGAGTCGTTAATTTGGTGACCGATTGAATAATAATCCTCCAAACAGACGTCGCGCATGATTGGATCTATGATCTAAAGGTAGTGCAAAATTTACGTACGTATTATAGAAGTGGATTAGTTTAATTTGCGAGTGTCTTTTAATAACTGTGCATCAGGCAACTGCAATGATGTATTGATACAATTGAAGTTCTGACACTCAATAGCCATGCATCAGATTGTGCAAAATTCGATAATTTGCAATTTCTGGTCATTATTTGCTCATAAAAATCTCGTGCATTTATACTAATAGGTGGGGGGGGACAGTGAATGTTAAATGTCTACTGTGAATTGCGACTACTGTATTGTGATTGAAATGGGACCAATGTAATTGGCTCTTATTTTCTCTTCGAATGTCTAAGCCTGTACTCAAGGTTGTAAACCACGTGTTTACACCACTTGTGGTGTATCTATGCATTTAGTACTTAAGTGTCGAGTTTTTACCTCGAAGCATAAATGTGGTAAATGCCTGGGCAGAAGAAGGCCTTAGGCTGGGACTTGCAACCTGCCACAGCCTTTCTAAATTATCACAGTGCAGCTAATAGTGTTATACATAATGAGGCTTTAGTTAAGTCACTGCAAGGAAATTCATTAAATCCTGGAAAGTAGGCTTCCCATGGATAAATATATTAATATGGACATTACATATTATTTTATGTCTCCTCAGCCCCATTTAAACTATTTTAACGCTTTAAATAGCTTGCGTGATTTTATGCTGTTGTCCCAAACACATATATGCTTGTAAATATGACTGAGGTACAATGCGTTTCATATTTTGTTAAAGCCATAGACGATAACCCGACTGCAGACTCCTTCAAAATAAAAAATAATTCCCAGTGGCCTTTGTTAAAAAAAGGCAATGCCCGATCAATTTTAACTGACTTAATTGAATCTCGGTCGTGAAGTCAAAACAAAGTCTCATGGTAAACCATGAATGTCAGATATTAGAGTTTACATCATTTCCTTTCAGTGATTTCAAACCAATCCCCTCATGAGTTTCAAAGAACAATTTACGATGGTAGAAATAAAAAGCATTCTCAGTATTAAAATTGTACATACATTGGTATATTGAAGCTAAAGCATACCCAGGCTTTCCCTGAAAATATCTCTACGTGAGATTCCCCCACACCTCGCAAACAAAGTGCTTGGTGTTTTTGCCAACATTCGCCGCAATGCAGCAGTGGCAAATGAAGGTGCCGTAGCTGCCCGTTTACACTTTTCCTTCTTTATTTGGTCCACTGCATTGTGGGTTCTCTTTAATGTGGAGGGAACGCCTGTTTTGCAGTTGATACTGTATCTAAACAGGGCTAAAGATCCCATAGTTCCAATATTCAGGGTTGTCAGGTCTCACGTCGCACGTGCAACGCACACATTGCTCTCGTTACAATCAGGCTTGGGCTTCATGGCACGACAATATGTTCACCACCAACTATTTTGTCCCTAGTGGACGTCATTGCAATTCCCAGACCTTGACAACGATGCGATCTGTTTTTCCATAATAGGTTGGTTGCTGGTTTGCATTTCTTGACGACCATATAGTAACGATGTTCATGAAATAGCTTCCCAGACAAATAGTGTAGCACTTTGTCAATGTAAAAAAGTCAGGAAAGCTTTCCTGCACCAGCTAATATTCAAAACCATATACCTCTCACGTCGCTTGCATCAGCACACGAGTCACGCACGAACTGGCGGCACTTGTGATTCCTGAGCATTTCACAGACTTGAGAATCTACACTTGTTAATGCCACAGCAAAATCACTTCACTCCTCTCCTGGTCTCACGCCATTGTGAGACAATCCCGCAAAACCCGCCGGGTCAGTGACGCATCCTGCGTCTCCCGAGTTGATCTGTGCCTCGTACAACCTCACATTGGCTGCTGTAAATGTATCATCGCTCGAGAGGTCTTCGTGGTGGACATAACCCACGGATGGGTCATGGTTTACACAGACGTAAACCAGTGGTTCCCAAGCTCTCTGGACCCCTTGGATGATTGTCAACCCTCAAACTAATTGTCGCAGACCTTCATAGAGTATTGACAAATCTGGTGCGTTGTGAAAAAAAAATGAAATCTGCAACAGTTCAGAAATCCAATTCCCATGGTTCGGGGAGCCACCAGTGGGCCTGAGGGCCACAGGTTGGGAGCCACTGCTCGAAATGCAGAGAGACGTCTTGGCGGTACACCGGTCCTCATATCAAAATTTGAACCGACGTTCGTCTTCCGACTGCTTCGACATCACGAGACCTGAGTGACGCTCACCCCGCAAGATTTTCTGACTGGGGATGCGAATCGCGGGAAAATAATTGATTACTGCGTTAAAAAAAAAATGTATACGGTACACCACCGTTATAACCGCCAATACATTAATGGGTCCCTTCCCAGAGATCGGTTCTGTCCTATTGACTAGCATGTTGTAAATTACATCTATATAACCGACGTAAATATATACTTTTCTATCTATATACTGTAATACGGTAATACTCTTTTTAAGCTGTTAGGTACGCATTTGTGCATACATGTCGACTTGTGATGTGCCAACATTGTCAGAGGAAAATGCGACCCATACCTCGGCGGTTCAACATTGATAGCGCGAGGAGCCCCAGACCGCATTGACTTGGCAAAGCTGAATCTTAGCCAAGTCGACGATCACCAAATTCCCGCAGGTGGCTGTGTAGCCTCAGGGTCAAGGCGCCCCCCACTTCGTGCGCGTGGGGCACAGGATCGATTCCCACTGCTGGTAACACACCAAGGTTTTCCTGGTGATTAGCCAAATACGTTACACTCTATCAACCAATGCAATTCTCTGTATATTGTTCATTACAGTAACTCCTACATGGTGCCATATTCGGATCTGCTTTGAAAATCTGATCATTTGAAATGGTTCCAACCTGGCTGAATGTTTTCTCTCCAAGGAGGGAACTCAGAGGTTTGTTTTACGTGGTCTCCATCTGGTTCGCAAAGCCTGTTTTTGATGCATTTGCCAAATGCAAACCTAAATATTATATATACTACTGAACATACATTTACTGTTGATGTAATACATTGGACACCGTGATGTGTGTAATACTTTGTTTTAATTGCTGCATTTACAAGCATGTATAAATGGTTGTTCTTTATACAGTCTTGACGATGTGTATTTGACCGGTTGTGATTGGTCAGTTATTACACAGCAGTATGCCCTGGCTGAAGATTGTCGAGATTATCAAGCATTTCGACTGCAACGATGAGGAATTGCAATAGTCCTCATTTGGCACAAAAAAAACATATACCGATCTCGGTCAAAGGCAAACAACAGCTGGGCTGGGCTGGGCTCGGGAAGCCACGGCAAGGTATGGTGCCATCAACTGCATTGGCTGTGATGACCTCTAACCTTGACAGTTTGACACAATGGGCAATAAGAAACGAGTCACTTTTATTTACAATTCGCTTGAGCACAGACTCGCCCAACACATCAAACCCAGTGCGTCTGTCACTGACATTCAAGAGTAAAACATGAACATATGAAACAGGTCTTAAGAAAATATTCTGTACGACTCCCTTGGGTGCCAAACACATTTTGTGCTGGGCTACCACAAGCTGGGAGCTGCAGTGGTTTCACCCCCCCACCCAGCAAGTCGATTGGCAGGCTGCATGGGGTAAAGTGCGACTCCTCCCAATTCTTCAACGACATCTTGGCCAGTGTGGAGAAGAGGTCAAGTGTTCTCCAGGGGGCCACTCGAGAGCTCCCTCTAGTGGAGGCCCTTCTGCTGGCAGTGTCGAAATCAAAACGTTACAGGGCTGCACAGCTACATTACCACAACATCACGTGTGCTATTTATCTTTGAAGGATTGACTAAATAAGAAATAAGCCAAGCCGGATCCACTTTTCTTTATTATGCAATGCATGGCTATGTTTACATCACGTTCTGAATAAACAAGCTAGTGTAAAAAGAAAGTACATATTTACTTTAAAAGATTTGTTTTGAACCTCCATTATTCAGAACAGAAATATGAAAAAAATACTAGCTGCAGTTAGCTGTCAGTCCTGATTTGAGTGAAATGTTATTAACGTTTCAAATAATTCTCAGGGGGGAAATGTTAGCCATGCTCATGCTTTAGCAAAAATTTCATATGCAGCAAGGCTCTAAGTCATTCATAGAATCCTGGAGAATATGGCAAAGGTGTGACTGCAACGGAGCACAAAAGCAAATAATTTAGTATTGTAATATATACGCATAAAAGCCAGTGGGGCCCAGTCTGTATCGCTCATGAAGCCAAAACAGGCTAAAACGCACAACACTGCACTGCCGCTTAACCAATATTTTGGCGTAAATTAGACGTGCAGCCTAATGTGTAAAAGTCTATTGCTATTCTCAAGCCTGGCCAATGGTGGCTGAGCTCCAAGTGAAGGGAGGAATTTTGCCAAGATACCAAATAGGAAAACTATATCATTCAAAATTATCTTGGCCACAAATGCAGCTGTCTGTCATGACCTTAAATGTTGAACCAGAATCAAGAAAAGTACCAGAACGCCACTGTTGCCAAGAATGTGGCTCTGCAACCAATTAGAGAATTCACATTTAAGCAGCTGAGCTATTCTTTCACACACACATAGGCAGTTGATTACAAGCGATCCAACACAATTTAGAAATTCTCTTCATAAAAAAATGGCACGAACTGTAAAATGAAAGTAACAGCATGGTCATTCCCCCATTTCCTAATGTCAGCCACACTGGAGTCACACAACCACCATGCGACAGGAAGCGCCAAAAAGGCACGGCTCAGCAACGACGCGTGGTACACCATGGAATGGGTGCTCCATATGGCAGCACACCATCCTGGTGCCTCGGACCAGGGCCTGACAAGATACATTTCCATTATGCATTCGGTTGCCACGGTGTTGTGGATCGATGTTTTTGAAAGTGTAATTAAGAGCATCCCGTTGCATGTGTAGCATTTTCCTTATAGGTGAAAAGGTAACACTTCAACTGCCTGTATATTCACATATCAAGGCATAGGATCTGTCAACACAGTTATTCTTAAAAGATTTTTCGGAACGAGTTGAATTTTCTTCGACCTATCGAAAGCATGGTATAACAGTTTCGGCATCGTCCCTTAATGTGACCGCGTACAATTTAACTATTCTGTAAATTCATTTATCAAGGCACAAGAAATGTAAATAAGGATATTAAGAGATTCTTAGGAACATGTTGCATTTTCATGGGGTTAACCAAGCATTTTTTGAACATCAACCTGAGTAGGACGACTGATATTTCCAGGGACCACTTTAGCGGTGCCTTTGGCAATGCACTAAAAAAGGGGTCCACTATGATGTCTCACCCCCTTCCAGCGTGCATCAGCACTCATTGGTTTAGTTCAGAGGAACCAGCAGCCAAAGGACTGCTGGCTCAGATGAAGGAAAGCTTGTACATTCAATGTATTAAAGTACACAAATGCGCAGCAGACTGCAGGGAGGAGAGGAGGAGAGCAAGAGGGCAGAGGAAACAAATGGCCGCTGTGCGTGGAGCAGAAAAACACAAGTGCAAGAGCAGACAAGTGCTGCTCTATTCAGCCGGATGAAACATCATCAGTGCTAAACTGGTCACATTCACAGCTTTCAGGTTTTCGTGTTTGTCTGAGAGTCATGCAGCTTAATGGGTGGCCTTGTTGTGCGCTGGGTGGCACACTGTTGGCTAGCGTTCTGCCTACGCCGATCCAGCGCCTCTTGCCTCTTGCGCTCAATCTCTTCAGGGCCGCATCGCTTTGGGCCTCCTAAAATTCGCGCACAGAAAGTGTATGCATTAGGGGTATGGTTAACACAGATTCTTGTTAACCAAGCCTGGCACAGAAACCACAGTAACATCACCAGCAGTGTAATTAATGATTGTTATACTGTGCAGATTAGTGTAATTGACACTATCTGTACACTCCAGTGTATTCCAGAAGCTATGCTTATGTGTAACGCAGTGTACTGTGTGTAAATTGAGTACTCAAGTTGGCCAGTTATATAAATCTGAAGTAAAAATTTCCCTTGGATTAAACCTATTCAGATAAGGAGTTTGAAGACATAGGATTTTAGCTGTTTAACAAAATGACCTGTCTACCCTATGGATACACGACCCAACTAATCAAGACAATACAATACTCTTTGGTTCTTTCGGTAAAGTCACGTAGAAAGAAAATAAATTAAATTAATTAATTAAGTAATTCCTGCAGTCACGAAAGCTTCAAATCAAGACGATACAATGTTCTATAGTATTCCTTATGACAGGGTACCCTACAGTAAACCACATGGTATGCTATGCTTGTGTGATTTTCATACATTCCACACCGTAATGCTTTGTGCTTAGCAGAATTCAAACTTATGCTTGTGGATATCCCCACTGCACTTAAGACATTGCTTCAGTGCGGACCAGAGGCCCTTACATACCTGTGAAGGTCACTGTCGTGTCCGTGTAGTGTCTCCGCAAGACAGGCTTCGAATTCGTTGACAGGATGTCAAATGCTGAGCGGCTGCGGTTCAGGGGGCCACCCGGAGCAGCTGGGGGCACGCTAGTGGCCCCACCGCTCCTCCCCTGGAATTCGCCGATCCTCGGTGGCCCTGGACACGCAGCTGCTGCCTCGGGCACGGTGAGTCTGCGAGCGGGCGGCACCACTGAAGCCCTCGGTTTCGACACAAATGTCTGGGCGCCAGCTGGCAGGACGCTCGATAACGGCACGAGCACGCTCGCCTTTTCGCTCCCTCCTGCCGCCCGAGCCTGCAGCGGCATATTTATGGACTGGATGTGGCTGGGCAAGACGGTGTTCAGATGCACCGTGTGTGGAATGGTCAGTGCAGAGCCGGATTCACCCACGGCGCTCCGTGTTCCCATGCCACCCTGGGCCAATAGCGAAAGGCTGCTGGAGTTGTCACTCACCCTCTCAACAGCCGAGTTGTTGTTCGTTCGGACGAACTTGAAGCTGTGCTGCTTCGTGGGACATGTGCCTGACGATACCTCAAAGCAGACCGCCCCAGCTGTTGCTGCAACACCGCAGGAGGCACCAGAGCCACTCGGCTTCGCATCCGCCCTGCCAGGCGGGCAGTCTGCAGTCAAACTTTCCGAAAGTGTGCACTCGTTCACGGGGTCAATGTCTGATTGCTTATCCCAGATGCCGTCAACGGGCTCCCGGATCCTGCTCAGGAGCTCGTCCACATTACCGAGGTCATCCCATTCATCCTCACTGATGACAGTACTTGCAGCATTGGGTTTAACTGGGTTGGGATGGGAGATTGGGTTAAGATTGGAGTTGGAATTGGAGGTAGCATTGAGGTTAAGGTGGACATTAAGGTTCAATTTGGAACTGTGTGCAGGATAAAAATTATGGGTAGGGTTAACATTACAGTTGAAACTAGGTTGAGGTTTGGTGGAAAATGTATAATTAGGCATAGAGTTAACACTCTGGTTAGCTTCAAGGGTCTGATTCGGGCCAACAACTCGGCAAGCAATTCCGCGCTTCTCTTGGCGTGAGCTTGTTGCCTTGAAAAACTCACGGTTAATCTGAACCACAGCAGGGCCCAGAGAGTCTGCGCACTCGAGCTTAGTAGATATTTTCATTGCTGCATCCCTCTGACCAACCACTGCATGCAAACTTTTTACTGCGGCCTGCATTGGTTTGTTTGGCCGAAATCCACTGGCACACGGACCTTTACCAGACTGGTCTGCACTCCCTCGCTCTATGCCTGTCGCAATGCTTGAGGACGCGCTCTGAAGTGGGATGCTGGGAAGTAAATTCTGTTTTTCTAGGGAGACCTTATTAAAACCGTTCGGAAAATATGTGGAATGAGCAGATGGCATTGCACTCTGCTTAATAGGGGCATTCATTAAGCTAGATGTAGCTTCAACAGAATCAGGTTTCAATCGAGCAGGCCCTTTTGTTGCCCCCTGGTTGTCCTGCATTTCATCCACGACTAAGGTTCTTGTGGCAGTGGCATCCACACGTTCGGAGTTCGTCACGAGGTCAGACAATTGAGAGGAAACAGCGATGAAGGAACTGTCGTGCACCCAGTCATCATCCTCCCAGTCATCAAACACGTTCTCCATGGGTAGATTCGACCCTGGAATCACACGGGCCGCCGTGACACCATCCCGTGCTGCGCCCTCGGCAAACGCCAACACTGTGTCTCCTGTTTTCGCGTTTGTGGGCCTGGCACTCCCAACTTTCTTATTCCGCTGTGCGCAGTCAGTAGCACCGCTGGTTTCATAGCACAAAGGTCTTGCCCTCGCCATAGCAGGCGGAGCGTCGATGACGCAAGAAGACAGGTCCCCAGCCAATAATACCTGCGCCGCCTCAGATGTGCAGCGCAGACCTTGAACACTGTGACATGCCGTTTTCTTGGCCAGGCTCGGAGCAGCGGACGCCGTCGCGAGCTTATCTTGGGAACCTGTGCCCACCGCACCCCCTCCACAGAGGGGATGCGACGGGTGCATCGTGTCCTCGTCGAACAGGGCGTGCAAGTCTGCCTCGTACTGCCACCCTGAGCCATTGGCTTTGGGCGTGCTCTGCAATGGTGGACAGAAAGTGAGCTGTGATGGCCGGGGGCAGTCGCCGCTGTTGGCGGACGCGTGTTCGGACGCGGGCTCCGGCGACGGTTCCAGCTCGTGAGGCAGCGAGACGATCACCAAGGAGCTGGATACGGGAGTGCCGAGGATTCGCGTGGGAGTGCTGTGATCTTCGCGGCCGTTTTCCGAGCGTCTGGCAACGCCCGCGCGTTCCCTCAGGATCTCTGCGTGAGTTAGACACGTCGCCGAGTGGAGAGAGCCCTGCGGCGGCAGGTCTGCTCCAAATGCGGTCGTCACTCTTGCGCAGGTGGTGGCATTGCCATGCTGAGGCGGGGACCGGACGCGCTCCGAGCACACGGTCGACGGGGCGTTGTTGCCGTCCCGGGACGCACGATCTATGTCCTTTGCCATGCTCACCAGCTCCTCAGGGCGCAGCTCCCGACACTCGACCCTCCGTCTTTTATTCCTGCTTAATAAAAAAAAAACAAGAGCAAGTATCTCCATTTAGCTGTGTAGACTCTTATAGCACAGTCACTATTCGTGAGCCTTTAATATGGCTGGTAAACATTTGAGGGGGAATATAGCCAGAACCACAACTAGCTGTCATTATTCCTCTGACTACAAGAAGTGCTCATTTAAAATTGAGTTAACTTAGCGGACGGCCATACCTGATGTTGGCTATTAATTTAACTATGATTACCGAGATTACAATACAGTACAGAATGTAATACAGATAATAATATGCCACATTGTGCCCTTAACTTTCTCAATATACAATGAAGCACAGACACAACCATTCAAAAACAAATATTCAAATATTCGCATGGCAATGACTGGCAGAGCATGCAAATAAATTGTTAGACCATGTGAACAACACCTGGCACTGGGTATTTTGACAGAGGTGACTTGAAAGAGGTTTATATCAGCTCCAGCCACCAATTTTCACTTGAGCGTACAGTAAAAAATTAAATAAGAGCGGACATAATTGCAGTTCAGTGGAAAAATATCCTCAACACCCCCCGCCCCCACACTCAGCTAACTTAGCTTTCTTATCTACTTCCGCCCCCTGCATCACAAAGCTTCAAGTTTCAATTCTAGATTTGAAGCTTTCGTGACTGCAACGGTAAAATAAAATAAAATATTTATATTTTTATTTTATTTTACTTTTTAATGCTTTCGTGACTGCAACGGTAAAATAAAATAAAAAAATTTATTTTTATTTTATTTTACTTTTTAATGTTTTTACCTACGTGACTTCAGTTTCAACTCCAGGTTAACTCCCAGCCCACACCCCGTCCCCACACTCACCATGCCGCCTCCCCCCCGCAACAATATAATTCCTTGTCACAGCCATCTCTTAGACACATTTAAGCGGTTGTGCTTTTGCTACATTGTCCCCACCTGAAGACGGACGCTTGTGTTGCGCCCGAAACGTCGTGCTTTAATTTAGTTGTTTTAATTTATTTTATTTTTTATCTACGTGACTTTACCGAAAAAATCAAAGAGTATGGATCTTTGCAGTCACGAAAACTTCAAATCTAGAATTCTCAACACTGCTGCCCACGGTGAATCAGAATATTTATTTATCCTGGATAAATCTGATGAACTATGAAGCTAATTTTCACAGATGCCCAGCAACCGTGTGCACATACAAAAGCTCACACATGAACTCAAAAGAAAAAGTCTCCGTGTTGAAATCTAGAGCCGTGGCCTGGCCAGTGTTACCCCTGGGTGCTGTGTTCATGGTTGATGGGCTCTGGTGAGAAGGAACTAGATGATGGAGAAATGCCTTCCCCGTCCATCCAAAAGGTCACCAAGGAACCCATACTGTTGGGCATGGGCTCTTCCTGCACACAACACACACAATCACAAAATCAGCACCACATTAACCACTTTCCCGATTCTGTTCCGATCATGTACGTTTACTTCATTGGAATATAATCGATTCCGAACGGAATAGGAAGGAAAGGGCATGCGGGAGGGCGTGTGGAACAGTTTGGCGCCATCTGTCATTGAGTGCGGTCGTGTTTCTACAGTTCTCTGTGGTGAGTACAGTACAATGTCTATAAGAATAACGGCACCAAGCCTCCCTACATACAATTAACGCTTTTTTCTTCTTGTTTCTTTCGGTAAAGTCACGTAGAAGGGAAGTAATAAAATAATAAAAATAAAACATAATAAAACAATTCTCACGACGTTTCGGCTACAACGCAAGCAGCCGTCTTCAGGTGAAGAATGAGACACTACCAAACTAGGAGCTTATATATAAGCTGCATTGGGGGTTGAAGAGCGCCTTAACAAAAAGAATGTGCATGTGAAGAGGAATTTAGCATATTCATGGAAAATGCGTAGGCGTTGGGCGGGGGGGTGTCAAAGTCATATTATGCCCATGCATTATGCAGGATCAGCAGCAACCAAGGGGGGTGCAGGGATTAGCAGTAACAAAGGAAAGGAATGTTAATGATATGTAGCTGCAGTTACTCAACAACCACGTAGAAAACTAAAGTATAAACTACATAAAAAACTAAAGTATAAACTGCATCGCACCATCAGTATACTTACTATACTCTATAATAAGCTGAGTTACTAACAGCAAGTAATACATTACAATTCTACCTCGTAAAAATTCTATAATATGCTTCCATCTAAACCTTATTCTCTTATATCACACGAGCATATACCGTACTATATACTGTCATAGATAAACCCAACATTAAATTATATACTGTATTGCTGTAAACCAACCTATATCTTATACATTTAATATAACACTATGTATTATTCTACACACCCTAATGTGTATCGAAATGGTTTATTACGTCCTTCCAATGATTGCTGAGCCAGAATCCATCTTCTCGGTTAAAATTGTCTCTGTGTTTGTATATGTGGATCGCCTCATGAACGAATCTCTCATGATAGCCAGATGGCTTGCAGAGAACCTCTGTCTTGGAGAAGTCGATATCATGTGAGCCCACTGAGTTGTAACAGTGATCTGCCACGACTGAGGTGTTTGTCCTACCGTGTTTCAGGTCAGCTTTATGTTCACGGATGCGGTCCGAGACATGTCGTTTGGTTTCCCCAATGTAACTGCTACCACAGAGGCAACTTAGTTTGTAGACGCCAGGGTACTGTATGTCTGGAACCACATCTTTTACAGACGGTACCAGATCACGGATTTTATGTACTGTGTTGAATCGGACCTGGATCTTGTGTTTAATCAGGATTTTGGAGATCTTTTTTGTGACCCCAGCAATGTAGGGTAAGGTGATGGTCTTGAAAGGCTCCTCAACAGGATCCTTCTTGATGGTTGGAGTGATGGCTTTGCGGATTGTATAGTCGGAGTAACCATTTGCCTTAAGAGCTTGGCGTACGTGTTTGAGTTCACTGGAAATGTGTTCATGGTCGGAGATGCATTGGGCTCTATGATATAGAGTCTTGATGAGGGAATTCTTCTGGGATGGATGGTGGTGGGAATCCGGTTTTAGATAAGCATCCGTGTGGGTGGCTTTCCTGTAGACAGAGTGGCTCATTGAACCATCAGGTCTCCTTTTGATTAGGACATCCAAAAAGGGTAGCTTGCCATCATTTTCGACTTCCATGGTGAATCTGATGGCTGGGTGTATGGAATTGATGTGGTCGAGAAATTGGTCTAGAGCAGGCCGGCCATGTGGCCAGATGACAAAAGTGTCGTCTACGTACGTCTTCCATAAGGTCGGGCGTAGAGTGGCAGTCTGGATAGCGTCCGTCTCAAATTTCTCCATGAAGATGTTGGCTACAACCGGAGATAGGGGGGAGCCCATTGGGGTGCCCTCAATTTGCTTGTAGAAGGTTCCATTCCAGGTGAAGTATGTATTGGTTAAGCAGTGTTTCACCAGGGGGGGTACCCCAGCATTCAGTCCTTGATGAACCAAGTCTTCAATGATTGCGATGGTGTCAGGCACAGGTACCTTGGTGAACAAGGAAACCACATCAAAACTGACAAGCAGGTCGTCTGGGGACAGGGCAATCCCCTTGATTGTCGATACCAGGTCAGTAGAGTTTAGTACTGCAGAGGTGGTTTTTCCAGTGAAAGGCCGTAGGATTTCGGACAAAAAACGAGCCAGTTTGTAAGTGGGGGAGTTGATAGTAGAGACAATGGGACGAAGAGGTGTATCTTCTTTATGTATCTTTGGCAAGCCGTACAATCTTGGTGGTCTGGCTGCAGAAGGTTTCAACGAGAACTGTTTGGTCTGATCAATTAATGCGGTTGAAGCAGAAATGATGTTGTTGGTTTTGGAGACGAGGCTGTTGGTGGGGTCTCTTTTTATTTTTGTATAGCTGCCATCGTTTAATAGTTCTTGAATTTTGTTGTTGTATTCTATTTTGTCCATGATGACAGTGGCATTGCCTTTGTCGGCTGAGAGGATGACAATGTCATCCCTCTTTTTTAATTGAGCTAATTCAAAACGCTCCTCTTTGCTGATGTTGCTAGCTGGCATCTTAGCGTTTTTGAGGGTTACAGAGATTTCAGATCTTGCTACGTCTGCAGCGATGTGACTCAAGCCCTTGAGAGCTACATCTACTCGAGCAATTATATCATTAACTGGTATGTGTCTAGGTGTGACTGCAAAGTTTAGTCCTTTAGCTAAAACGGATTTTAAACCTTCAGAAATAGGACTGTTACTGCGATTAATTACGACTTTGTTAATATCTAGCTTTTCAATGTGTGGGTCCGGTTTCTTGTTTGAGAGGCGATTGAATTTGGAAATCAAGTTGTCCTTACATTTAGTCGACATAGCGGCAGCTGAAGAGGCAGTCATTTTTTCCACATGTTCCCAATCCGATGTGGACATTGTTACACTCAAAGATAAGTGTGATTTGTAGAGTGTCTTGTCTAACTGATCTAGTTCGGTGCGCGTAAGTCTGATTTTCTCTGAGATAAGAGCTAAGCTAGTTCTAGACAGAATTCGTTTCGCATTAGAAGAAGTTACAGCAGCAGATGTTAGTGTAAATGCGTTTGGTATTACCTTAGAGTCGCGGCATCTCTTCAGAAAGGTGAGAGACTCGATTAGCTGAGCCTTCTTATCCCGGAGCTTGTTGAAGGATCTCAAAGTTATGTGGAAACCCTCCCCGTAGAGGCGGTTAAATTTCGATTTAAAGCTTTCGTGACTGCAGGGATTCATCTTCTTGTTTCTTTCGGTAAAGTCACGTAGAAGGGAAGTAATAAAATAATAAAAATAAAACATAATAAAACAATTCTCACGACGTTTCGGCTACAACGCAAGCAGCCGTCTTCAGGTGAAGAATGAGACACTACCAAACTAGGAGCTTATATATAAGCTGCATTGGGGGTTGAAGAGCGCCTTAACAAAAAGAATGTGCATGTGAAGAGGAATTTAGCATATTCATGGAAAATGCGTAGGCGTTGGGCGGGGGGGTGTCAAAGTCATATTATGCCCATGCATTATGCAGGATCAGCAGCAACCAAGGGGGGTGCAGGGATTAGCAGTAACAAAGGAAAGGAATGTTAATGATATGTAGCTGCAGTTACTCAACAACCACGTAGAAAACTAAAGTATAAACTACATAAAAAACTAAAGTATAAACTGCATCGCACCATCAGTATACTTACTATACTCTATAATAAGCTGAGTTACTAACAGCAAGTAATACATTACAATTCTACCTCGTAAAAATTCTATAATATGCTTCCATCTAAACCTTATTCTCTTATATCACACGAGCATATACCGTACTATATACTGTCATAGATAAACCCAACATTAAATTATATACTGTATTGCTGTAAACCAACCTATATCTTATACATTTAATATAACACTATGTATTATTCTACACACCCTAATGTGTATCGAAATGGTTTATTACGTCCTTCCAATGATTGCTGAGCCAGAATCCATCTTCTCGGTTAAAATTGTCTCTGTGTTTGTATATGTGGATCGCCTCATGAACGAATCTCTCATGATAGCCAGATGGCTTGCAGAGAACCTCTGTCTTGGAGAAGTCGATATCATGTGAGCCCACTGAGTTGTAACAGTGATCTGCCACGGCTGAGGTGTTTGTCCTACCGTGTTTCAGGTCAGCTTTATGTTCACGGATGCGGTCCGAGACATGTCGTTTGGTTTCCCCAATGTAACTGCTACCACAGAGGCAACTTAGTTTGTAGACGCCAGGGTACTGTATGTCTGGAACCACATCTTTTACAGACGGTACCAGATCACGGATTTTATGTACTGTGTTGAATCGGACCTGGATCTTGTGTTTAATCAGGATTTTGGAGATCTTTTTTGTGACCCCAGCAATGTAGGGTAAGGTGATGGTCTTGAAAGGCTCCTCAACAGGATCCTTCTTGATGGTTGGAGTGATGGCTTTGCGGATTGTATAGTCGGAGTAACCATTTGCCTTAAGAGCTTGGCGTACGTGTTTGAGTTCACTGGAAATGTGTTCATGGTCGGAGATGCATTGGGCTCTATGATATAGAGTCTTGATGAGGGAATTCTTCTGGGATGGATGGTGGTGGGAATCCGGTTTTAGATAAGCATCCGTGTGGGTGGCTTTCCTGTAGACAGAGTGGCTCATTGAACCATCAGGTCTCCTTTTGATTAGGACATCCAAAAAGGGTAGCTTGCCATCATTTTCGACTTCCATGGTGAATCTGATGGCTGGGTGTATGGAATTGATGTGGTCGAGAAATTGGTCTAGAGCAGGCCGGCCATGTGGCCAGATGACAAAAGTGTCGTCTACGTACCTCTTCCATAAGGTCGGGCGTAGAGTGGCAGTCTGGATAGCGTCCGTCTCAAATTTCTCCATGAAGATGTTGGCTACAACCGGAGATAGGGGGGAGCCC